TAGTATCCTTTCATATGTTAAAGTTGCCCCAGTCATTGCATTCTTTGCATGTGCTGCACTTTATTTGTACCATTTTGTTTTATTAGTTTATTTATTAGAGTTTGAAAGATTGTATTGATTGATAAGTGAGATCTGATTTTAGTCCTTGAAAACCAAAAAAAGTAGTGCAAGTCCTTGAAAGTCCTGGAATTTTATTTTGCAGTATCTGTACGAACCCTGTTTAAGTTACCAGTTCTTGGACCATTTGAATGTTTCTGTTGTTAATTGAACTGAACTGTAGTTTTCTGTAGTAAACGGTCTTTGTATATTTCCTATTTTATATTCATTCCCTAGTATTTCAGAAATTTCATGTTTTAGATTGTAGGTCATCTTGTACCCTGTCAAGGACAAAGCTTACCAGCAAAACTTGATATCAACAGCATCCTAAATGTGTTTGCACCATATTGTAATGAGTAAACTTTCTTGGTATTGCCGTTTCAAATAGCCCACCATAATGTGTAGTCTGAGCCTGTCAAGGGCTAATGGCAATGGCAGATATGTTACTAGTTAGTTTTAAGGAAAATCATTTTCAAATAATGTTCTTTTTTTTGTTTGCAAATAACCCTGTGTATGTGTCCGCCCCCGCAACCCCCAACCCCCGGGAAAAAGTTCAGGCTCAGGATTTTTTTTTGCTTTAACCCCTGGTTATTGCCCTGAGTCACATACACAAATGAAAATGCTGACTGTCTGTTTGTGTGTCTCCAGGGCTTCAGGTCCTGTTCACGATGCTGCAGAACATCGCTCAGGAAGAGGGAGCAGCTCAGAGCTTCTATCAGACCTACTTCTGCGACGTCCTGCAGCACATTTTCTCCGTTGTCACGGATACGTCTCATACTGCTGGTCAGTTGCTAGGCAGAGAGAGAGTGGCATGTTTTCAGCGTAACTAATGGAGCCGTTATTTTGAACAGAACTGCTTCACATCAGTCACGCAGTGTATCTCACAAACACTGCTGATCAGGTCATTTTTCCACCTGAAATAAAAAGGAAAAAAACAGGAGTTTAGGCTAAATGTAAAGAAAATAGGATTTGTTTTTTAGCTTTGACATCTCTTTTTATAGATATCATTATTGTTGCGTGCACTTCTCTCTTTCTTATTTAAGTGTAACATTTAAATTGTGATGTGTTAATTCATACTGATTTAAACTTAATGCAGTAAAATATTGCAGATTACTGACTCGAAGGTTAAAATCAGTGTGTGTGTGTCTGATGAATGTTCTGTGGTTTGTGCCGGGCAGGTCTGACGATGCACGCCTCCATCCTCGCCTACATGTTTAACCTGGTGGAAGAGGGTAAAATCAGCGTCACTCTGAACGCAGGCACCACGAGCAACAATCAAAGCTATGTGCAGGAGTATGTAGCCAATCTGCTGAAGACGGCCTTCCCACATCTGCAGGAGTAAGAGCAGCCTAGAGCATGAGGATTGTGTTTTCAGTGTGTTGCCGGTGTCATGTGTTCATGTTAATGTTGTTGTTTTTTGTTTGTTTTTTCAGTGCCCAGGTGAAGGTGTTTGTCACGGGTCTGTTCAGCTTGAATCAGGACATTCCTGCCTTTAAAGAGCACCTCAGGGACTTCCTGGTCCAGATCAAGGTACGTCACTTCCTTCCTGCTAGACTGACTTTTCACAATATAAATGGGTTAAATTAAAATTTCACAATATAAATGGGTACTACACATGCAGGGTTGAAAATGCACTTTTATCCCAATGGCCATTTATTTATTTGTTAAATACCCACCTCAATTTATATAAATATTTGTATTTTAATATTTGAATTGATTTATAATTGATTTTTAATAATTAGATATTAGAATTTTATTGTTACTAACATTTATAGTGAATTAAAAACAAATAATATTAATAATATAATTATTTTAGTAATAATTATTAAATTTATTAAACATTAATATCAATTAAATATTAGTAGTTAATAGTAATAAAATGCTCTGTAATAATTTGTTATTGTGCAAAATGTTTTAATCAATATTAATGTTGATTATATATTAGTTAATATAGTCAAAATGCTAATTTACGACTAATTAAATGTTAATAATTAAATATTAATCATTAATAGAAATAAAATGCTCTGTTTTATAATAAAGTAACTGTTATTGTGCATAATGTTGTTTTAATAAATATCAATGTTAATTACATATTAGTTAATATAATCAAAATGCTATTATTATTACTACTAATTAAATGTTAATCATTAATAGTAATAAAATGCTCTCCTATGAATAATACATTATTAATACTAATAAATAAATTGTGCGTGTTTTAATTTATAGTGACATTAATTATATTGAATATTAATGTTCATTTAATATTAATAGCTAACATAATTCAAATTATGCTAGTTGTTTATGATTAGTAGGAGTATTATATATAAACAATCTTGTGGCATTCACACAGTTTCTGGCCTTTCAAATGGATATGGATCTGTTTTTGATTCTGGATAACATTCCCAACTTTAACTAATACTGATTACAAATGGATACTTTGTTACAGTCTAACATTAAAAATGCTTTTATGTAAAGCTGCTTCCAAAAACATATAATGTGAAACACTGTGCAAATAAGCGTGACTTGGCACAGCGTTGGAGTTGTTCCAGTGGGCCGTTCATAATCACTCGCATTGTGTGTTTGCAGGAGTTTGCGGGCGAGGACTCCACAGATCTGTTCCTGGAGGAGAGGGAAGCGTCTCTACGTCAGGCTCAGGAGGAGAAACACAAGCTCCAGATGTCTGTCCCAGGAATCCTCAACCCTCACGAGCTCCCGGAGGAAATGTGTGAATGAGCACCTGGACAGTTTCACACTCATGAAGGAAGAGTGTGTGTGTGTGTGTGTGTGTGTGTGTGTGTGTGTGTGTGTTTTCATTTAGCTTGTAGAACTTGATTACTTTGATTTAAATACATAAAAAAAATATATATAGTTCTCTAAATATACTAGCAAACCTTTACATAATTTTGTCTGAATTTGCTACTATAATACTTTACTAGAGTTGAGTATCTCATTAATATTGATAGTGATAAATTTATTAAATAAGCTTAATATTTGTTGAAACTGACATTCTTCAGGATACTTTGAATAAAGTGTTAAAATAAGTTATTTGTAATGTATCTATATAATGTGTCTTTACTGTAACTTTTATTTAATTCAACTTCTAATGACCCCAAACTCTTTGCAAATGATTACACGTACACACACACACACATATATATATATATATATATATATATATATATATAAAATCTAATCTACGACCCATAACTGTCATAATACATGAAAGATAAACGGGATTTATGTAGGAAATACAGTACAGATGTGTGACCCTGGAGCACAAAACCAGTCTTAAGTCGCTGGGGTATATTTGTAGCAATAGCCAACAATACATTGTATAGGTCAAAATTATCGATTTTTCTTTTATGCCAAAAATCATTAGGATATTAAGTAAAGATCATGTTCCATGAAGCTATTTTGTAAATTTCCTACCGTAAATCTTAATTTTTGATTCGTAATATGCATTGCTAAGGACTTCATCTGTACAATTTTAAAGGATATTTATTTATTTTGCACCCTCTGATTCCAGGGGCCTCGTTTATCAACAGTGCTTAGAATAGGTTCTATATTTTGTCCTTATATTTACACATTCATTTCCTACATATAAGTACAAGTTGGTAGATAACACACTTGGCGTGAAATTGTGCTTATGCACTCATTATGCACACATCTGTGCATACACACTGTTGATAAATGAGGGCCCAGATTTTCAAATAGTTGTATCTCAGCCAAATCAAATGTTGTCCTATCCTAACAAACCATACATCAATGGAAAGCTTATTTATTCAGTTTTCAAATCATGTACAAATCTCAATTTTAAAAAATTGACCCTTATGACTGGGTTTGTGGTCCAGGGTCACATATCAAAATTAAAACATCACACGTACACGTGCTCGACAGCGAGACATCGCGAGATTTCCGTCGAATGGCCGAAAGGGCCGGAAGCAGGCGTAACGAAAACAGCCGATGTGTAACAAACGGTCGCCCCTCCCTCTCTCTTTGCCAGTTTTCCGAAAAAGGCCGAACGACCTGCAAGACGGTTCATATCATCCTATTTGTAAAGCCGTGTATTAGTACTATGGAAACATAAAGTTGGTTATTTTTACAAAGCGTGTGTGTGTGTGTGTGTGTGTGTGTGTGCCATGAAGCTATTTTGTAAATTTCCTACCGTAAATCTTAATTTTTGATTCGTAATATGCATTGCTAAGGACTTCATCTGTACAATTTTAAAGGATATTTATTTATTTTGCACCCTCTGATTCCAGGGGCCTCGTTTATCAACAGTGCTTAGAATAGGTTCTATATTTTGTCCTTATATTTACACATTCATTTCCTACATATAAGTACAAGTTGGTAGATAACACACTTGGCGTGAAATTGTGCTTATGCACTCATTATGCACACATCTGTGCATACACACTGTTGATAAATGAGGGCCCAGATTTTCAAATAGTTGTATCTCAGCCAAATCAAATGTTGTCCTATCCTAACAAACCATACATCAATGGAAAGCTTATTTATTCAGTTTTCAAATCATGTACAAATCTCAATTTTAAAAAATTGACCCTTATGACTGGGTTTGTGGTCCAGGGTCACATATCAAAATTAAAACATCACACGTACACGTGCTCGACAGCGAGACATCGCGAGATTTCCGTCGAATGGCCGAAAGGGCCGGAAGCAGGCGTAACGAAAACAGCCGATGTGTAACAAACGGTCGCCCCTCCCTCTCTCTTTGCCAGTTTTCCGAAAAAGGCCGAACGACCTGCAAGACGACTCGGCGGAAACAGCCGACGTCTCGCACAACGTTACCCGCTTGCCTCCGAGCGATCGCGAACATTCCCGGAAAATGCCGAACATTTCCGAAGTCGCTCGACGGAAACAACCGAAGTGTAACTCCCGTCCCTGTTCATCATGGCTACCGTATGTGCTGGTCTGCACAGTAACGCTCTGCTCGGAGACTGACTCTCCGCTCCTTTAGTGCCTCACATTTACTGTCTCCACCCTCGACATTTCGGCAAACAATCCCGCTTGCATGAGCCCAAACCTCCCTGGTTGTGTTGTCTCATAATAACGAGCCTTCATCAAGCATTTCGTCGGGCCTTAAACACCCCCCTTAAAAAGACCGAGAGAAAAACAGGCAACATTTTATTTCTCCAATGGTCTGAATACACTTTCCGCCTTTATGAACCATGTGTGAGAACTGCGCCGAGCTGCTGGAGGTGCTCAATGAGAGTAAGTCAACAGCATTTGATTGGTTTTTGTGCGTTTGTTGTGTTTTTGTACGTTAGTTGTTTGCAGCAAGTTAGCATGACTGTCCGAGCATGTGGCTCGCTGCCTCGATTCAGCGCAGATTTTCGTGTTTAATATTTAATCTTTCACACTTGTTGTCAACGTGTGCATTTAAAAGAGCGCTCAAGCACCTTTTGGCTGTCATTACTTCTCTTCTGTTTGATTTTGATATCAGTTTTTATTAATGCAATGCTATTTGAACGTGTTAGCCCTTCGTCATTTCAGAATTAAATCGTCAAACAAGAGCAGCTAAAAAATTAATCTGCTGTTTATTTTGAAGAGAAACATCAGAAAACATCTTTATGTGTGCGTTGACCATCAGCTTGTTTGAATATGCTTGGAGGCTGATGGGAAGTTGGACTGACATTAGCATTAGCATTAGCACAAGCAGAAGTGTTTTTGACATTGTCATCCTTCAAAATGCACACAGATCAACATCTGATCAGCCAACACGATCCACACGGCAGTGTAATTCTGCTGGAGCAGGTGATTTATGAGGGTTCATGCGATCTGACAGTCGGGATGTGAGATTTTAGCAGTCTTTGGCCCTCTGATGGCTGCTGGACAGGAATCGGACAGCATTTGTGTTTGTGTGCTTTGTTGGATGGAGAGAGTGTGATGTGGATTATTGCGCTTTCTTTGCTTCAGCACTGATGTCTTCGCAAGACAGTGACTGATGGTAATACCATGGCACTTTGATATGTACCATTGTAGTGAAGGTTTGCCATGGCTTTTGCATGAAACTTGAAAGAACTACTGTGATATATGTCCAAAGCATCACATCCAGTGTTGGGGAAAGTTACTTTTAAAAGTAATGCATTACAATATTGCGTTACTCCATAAAAAAGTAACTAATTACGTTACGTAGTTAATTTTTATGTAAAGTAATGCGTTACGTTACTTTTGCGTTACTTT